TGAGACAACTGCACCCATGTGATTGGTTCTGAGATTTACTGTAATATAAAATATATAATTTTGAATATAGTATAAAACAAAATATCTAATGAATATTTTATATTGATATGTTGAAATGATTTTATATATTAGATTAGGTAAAATATACTATCACATTAATTTCATCTGTTTCTTCTGTTTTTTATTCTACCTATCAATATTTTTAAATTACAGGCAGTCCCCAAGTTAGGGCAGTTTCACTTAAAATTTTTCGACTTCATGACGGTGTGAAAGCAACTCAAATTCAGTGAAAGGCTACTTCAGATTTTGAATCCTGACCTCTCCCAGCCCAGGCACATGGCCCTCTCTCAGGATGCTGGGAGGGGCACAGCAGTTCCTGCCAGCCATGTGATTGGGTTTAAACAGCCGCTCCTTCAGGGCACACAGTGTGCTAAGCTACAATGTTGGAAGATGGGTGTACTAAATGCATTTTCAATTTGACATTTTCAACTTAAAATACGTTTATTGGGAGAGAACCGTATCCAAATCAAGAAGCATCTATCTGTACACATGTAGCACACATTATATTTCTACTGGACAGTACTGTTTTAGACAAAGAAGAGGACCTGAGGAGTTATTCTGGTATTCTTTACTTTAATTAGTATAAACATTTCTACTTTAAAATGTTTTTCTCAAACAGTTACTTTCAAAATCTTTCTACCAAACACATTGCAGTGGTGGCCCCTATACTCAGGGGAAGCAGTCGAAGACCCTCAGAGGATGTCAGAAACCAAAAACAGTACCAAACCCTATTCAAATGTTTACAACTTTTACGTGTTCACATAAAGGAAGCATTTTATGGCTTTTCTTTGGAGTACATGAATTGCTAGCAGCATCGCACTTGCGTTTTGAGGCATTGTTAAGTAAAATAAGCGTTACTTGGACACACGTGCTATGCTGCAGTACCACAACACTGACCAGACAACCACAAGAGCTGCTGAGTGACTAACAGGCAGGGAGCATGTCCAGCACACAGCGCAGGTACTGTGGACTCAGCAGGACAGGGAGCCAGCGCAGGATTTCATCTCTCTGCCCAGAACAGTTGACAACTTAGGAGTTACGAATTTCTGGAATTTTCCATTTAATGTTTTTGGATCACAGTTGACTATGGTTCACCAGAACCTCAGAAAACAAACCCATGGATAAGCAGGTACTCCTGCAACTCAAAAATGAACTATCATAGCTAAGGAGGAAATTAAAGAAATACTGCATAGAGAACAGCCAGATACCTTGTGCTTTACTTAGAAACCTCATCTCTGCAAGACTGTGTGACCCATGGAACGCAGGACTTTGCTTTGCTTGGAATCTAAACAGCCGAGGCTGCTGAATGACCTAACAGTCTGCCTAGCTAAATGTTTTATGTATTCATTCTTAGAAGACAGGAATTCTTAAATTAGGGCCTAAAATTGCTTAACAGTAATATATTTTCTTTGGCATTTAAAAAATTTTTATAAATTGCTGCCTATATGTTATCAGGGTTCTATTTAAATAGGCACAAGTCCAAGGAAAGATTAAATTCTTTCTGCCTTTAACAATGTGTATTTTGGGCCGGGGATTTAGCTCAGTGGTTCCGGCACCTGCCGCGCAAGCGCAAGGTCCCGGGTTCGATTCCTGGTACCAAAAAACAAAAAACAATGTGTATTTAGGAACCATCAAAAGGTTTACATAAAATCACTTATGAATCATTTATGAAACCATTTTCTTTATATTTTCCAAATACATTTGCAGCCTGCAATCAGAAAAATTACTCACTTTAATTATGTTCAATAATGTAATTCAAACTACTGTAAGAAAATATCCAGATATTCCTACCTAGAACCAATATACTATAAGGATGTATGACCATTACCTCTAAGCCTGTCAATTACCTTACAGGTAAGAAATTACATAAATTGTACAGAAAGCACTAGTATTCTAGCATAGGATTGACTCTCACAGGAAATTCTTTCACGTGGTCACTTTTTCAGTATTAGAGTCATATTACTTCTTGGCAATCAGAGAGGCTACTCTTCAAATTCTCTTTTCTAAAAAGAACATACTGTATCAAAGGGGGATTAGCATTTACTATGTGTAAATTATGCACTTAGGGAACTCCCTTATCTTTACCATTCTCATCTGTTTCATGAATATTTATTACACCTATGAAGTATAAACCACTGTGTCACAGATTCATAAGGGATATAAACTAAAGACACATAAGGATCTGGACCACAGGCCACTGATACTGTAATAAGGGAGAAAGGCTGGCTCGGTTCAACTCTCCCTCAACTAACAAGTGGGTGAGATATCAGAACCAATAGGGTTAAGGCACAAAAACTGACAGCTCATTTAAGAAACATTTTGAAATATGCCTGTCATGACCAGTCATCACAATGTAACTTCTCTCTTTAAATAAGGAGAGAATTTGAATTTTTACTCTAGTTCAATATACAGTTTTATACTGATAGGAATCAGTGCAAAGGATAAAATGAAGGTAAATAATTTTTTCTTCTTCATTAATGGAAGTATATGTGTTTTCATTTATTTTTATTCTTTACTTTTTTTTTTTTGTACCAGGGATCAAACACAGGACCCTGCGCTTGCAAGGCAGGCGGTGGATCCACTGAGCTAAATCCCCGGCCCATATTCTTTACTTCTACTACAAGTATTAATATGGTTTTGTGTTAGACACTTAAGAAAAAGTATACACAAGCTAATCAAAAGACATAATTCCTTACCAAGATTCAAGAGACCAAACCTCAGAAAACCTAAATTCTAACAAAATTTCCCAGTTTACATGAGCTTCTATGAATATAGATAACTGTACAAATAGAATGCTACAGTATGAATGTATCTACATTGGTTGTTGAGCATTAAAAAGCCAATATATAGTAATCTGTAGTGCTTATCACTCAGCAGATAATCTTCTAAGTACCTTGAAAATGCTAATTTTAATCTTTATGTAACCCTATAAAGTAGCTATTATCTGCACTCGATAGAGATAATTTGACCAAGGTTCACAGAATTGAAGAAGAGCAGAGCCAGGATTTCAATAAGCAGTTTTTCTCCAAAATCATGTTCTTAACCACTATGGTACACAACTACCTAAATAGTAACACTACTATCCAACCCCTTAATACTATACAATCAAAAATGCCTCTATTGTACAGTAAAAGAGACATTACTAAGAAAAGAATTTTAGGGGCCAGCGATTTAGCTCAGTGGTTCCGCCACCTGCCTCGCAAGTGCAGGGTCCCAAGTTTGATCCCCAGTACCAAAAAAAAAAAAAGAATTTTGGAAAAGATTCATTTTGTAAAATTTTGCTTGACAATTTACAATTTTAAACTGAAATTCGTTAGGTCAGTATTTTTCTCTGCTGAAGAGCTATTAACTTCTCAGTACTTGGGGAGCTAAGGGAGGTGGATCACAATCTCGAGTCCCACTTGGGCAACTTGATGAGACCTTGCCTCAAAACAAACAATTAAAAAAAGGCCTGGGAATATCATGTACAGGTGCAAATTCCCAATGATGAATGTCATCATACTGTATACCTAAAATGCACCAATAAACTTAATGAATTTTTTAAAAAGGTCTGGGAATGTAGCTCAGTGGAAAAGCCCTGGGTTCAATCTCTAGTACCCCCAAAAAGCTACTAACTTTATGAAAAAATATTAGGTAGTGTTGATTAAACACACTCACGCATGCAGAGATGTACACATACATGGGTTAAAAATCAGTTTCTTGTGATATACAGATAGACATTTGAGATCTTCTACCCGCCAGACATTGTTCTAAGTGCTCTATGTTTCCTTTTTTGAAAATCCTCATAACCCAATGAACTACCTATTACAGTTTTCCCAATACAAATGAGAACCACAGTATGAAGAAGTTAAATAATTTGTCCAAAGCCAAACAGCTAAAATTGACTTTTGGACTCAGACCACAGTCAGATTCCAGAATCCACATTAACAATTTTATCATATAAATTTAGTTTCTTAAAAAATTCTTGATATGAATACTCAATGACGATAACCACTTATAATTTAAGCATTTCATATGTTTCCTTTTAACACTAACAAGGACAATGGAACTTTCATTTATAGACATATTATTAATCTTTGCTTTTGGTTAAATTTATAATATCAGAATTGTTACTAAGATCACAAACTTCAGAAAAATTATGGTGGGCAGATGATAGCTTCTGATACTAGGAAGAATTTCAGATTTAATTCTAGCTTGGCTAAAGAAGACTAAGACCTTCTGGTGTTCCAGCAGTATATGGAGAAGATCCTGGAACATGAAGCACAGTGGAGAGAGCAGACGACCTGTTGTGCTAATGTTTATAAGTATGGAAGTTTGTGATGACTTACAAGGCTGGTTACAACATGTGAAGTGAAAGACACACTAACAGATAATTACAGTGACAAGTAATAAGGAACATAAAATGATGTTAGTTTACACAGATTGCCACAGTAATGATGTTAGTTTAGACAGACTGCCACAGAAATACAGCACTGAGAGTCATAACACCACCTGCAAGAATGAAGGAAGGTTTCACAGAGAAAGAATTCTGGGGATCAGAGACTGTTTACAAAAGCACTAAAAATACAATCTGTGAGATGCATACTTAATCCATTTTAATTTTTCTCAACTTTAATGATGAAGCTACCCATCAAGAGTTTTGATTTGCAAATCTATTTTAAAATCATAAAATACTAAAAGGAGCTTTTAAAAACAGGTCCCTTAACACTAAAAGTGCAATTTATAGTATAGCAAAGTTAATAATAACAACTTCAAATTACCTATTTAGTTCTCATTTCCTTGATTTCATTTGGCATTGATCTAACTTAATGTGAAAGGTTACATTCGTGCAAGTTAATACAGATTAATGATTAACTATATTCACCTGCCAACCTTACCTTTTATGTGGCAAATCCTAGTATATATAAAGTTAAGAAGTCTAGGTCTGCTTATAGGAAAAAATTATTCAAAATTTCTTGAAATTGAATAATTAGGATAAAATGTACACAATTAAGCTCTTTCTCATTATTGTTCCTCTAGTTATTTCTTCCAGGATTGATCAAGACAATTCATCATTTGATTCTGTATCTTCAGAGCCAAAATCAAGATTTGCTATGTTAGATGATGTAAAAATTTTAGCCAATGGTCTCCTTCAGCTGGGACACGGTCTTAAAGACTTTGTCCATAAGACTAAGGGCCAAATTAATGACATATTTCAAAAACTCAACATATTTGATCAGTCTTTTTACAATCTATCACTGCAAACTAATGAAATTAAAGAAGAAGAAAAAGAACTGAGAAGAACTACATCCAAACTGCAAGTCAAAAATGCAGAGGTGAAGAACATGTCACTTGAACTCAACTCAAAACTTGAAAGCATCTTAGAAGAAAAAATTCTACTTCAACAAAAAGTGAGATATTTGGAGGAACAATTAACAAATTTAATTCAAAATCAACCCGACATTCATGATCATCCAGACATAACATCACTTAAAGTAAGTAAAAAAATCAAAGAGGGTTCATGATTATGTTTTCATTGTGGACTTAAAAGTACTTCTGAGACATACTATTTGAAATACTTTGTTGCACTGTTAAAATATTTTATTTTTCTGATGAAAACATCTTCTATAAAATAAAATTTCCATTATAATTTCAAGTTGGTTTTCATTTCCCTAATAATACATATGAAAACAACTAAACTGTATTTCATGTAAAAATTAGAAATCAGTTAAGTAATAAAATATAGAATACTAATTATACTATTGCAAATTACTTGAAGTTAAATGAATTTCAATTTAAAACCATTCTTCCATGTTCAACAACAGACAAATGCAATACAGTAAATAGTAAAGAATTATTCCTACTAAAATAGTGTGAGGGGTTTTCTTTCTTATAATTGAACCATATCATACAAGTGAAAATTAGTGCCAAAATTCATTTTTCCAATCTATTCATCTAAAAAATTAGGTCATGATAGTTATAAATCTTAACAAAAAAAAGAATAAAAAGGAAATCTTTATAATCGAACTGCTATCTATATACAGGTTTTTGTAGAACAGCAAGATAATAGCATCAAAGACCTTCTCCAGACAGTGGAAGAACAATATAAACAATTAAACCAGCAGCACAGTCAAATAAAAGAAATAGAAAATCAGGTAAGTCAGTATTTTAATAGTATGTCCAATATTTTACATTTTGGTTTATATAAAGACTACACCCTAAAATTATTTAAAAGATTTAACTGGATCATGAAGAAAATGATCACAACAGCATGACTACTAAGATCGCAGGCTCTGTAGCTAATGGTAACGAGTTTGAATCATAACTGAAAACTTCCTAAGTGAACAGGCCACTTATCCTCTTTGTCTCTCAGTTTTCTCACCCCTCCCAAAAATAATAACAAAATCGATCTTACAGGATTACAGTGAGCAAAAAAGAATTCATAGCAGCCAAAGTGATCCTATTAAATTTTAAATTAATCATGTCTCTATTTTTGGTCCAAAACTCCCAATGGGTCCCATGTCACACGTGCTAGTTCTTAGGACCTGAGATGCCCTGACCTCTTGTTATCTCCTTACTTTATCTCAACCTAATCTAGTAACTTTGGTCTCTTTCCTGTATTCTAACACAGCAAACACATGCCCCTCATGGCCTCTGCCCTCCCTTCCCTCTCCCAGGACTGCTAAATGCTCCCCTCCCTCGCATCTGCATGGCCTACTCTTTCACTTCCCTTAACCTTTCATCATACACAAAATATTCAATGAAGCCTTTTCAGGCTACTTAATCAAAAATTACAACTCCCTATTCCCATCCTCCAAAGCTTCTGCCCTTTAACATTTTTATCTCCTTAACACTTATCTTTACATATACATTTTAGTGATTTATCCTTTCTACCCCTGAACTAGAATGTAAGCTCTGTGAGCACAGGGATTTTTTTTCCCTTATTTTTATTGCTGTAGTCACAGAGTAGGTGTTAAAAAAATATCTGTCTCACCACCTGCCTTGCAAGTGCAAAGTCCTGCATTCGATCCCCAGTACAAAAAAAACAACCTGTTAAACTAACAAATATATTCAGCACTCGGAAGTTAATAAATACTTCCTATGATTATTATTACTCATATTAGAAACTGTGTCCCCAAAATAAAATTGATCTAAAATGCAAGCAACTGGCTGAGACAGGAAGGTATTTATTTAGACTAAAGCTATCAGAATCTAAGCACTGCAAAATATAGAATAGTTTTTAAAATATTAATTAGTAATATTCTTAAAGAGCCATTCAAGAGTGTTCAAAAAATAAAACAAACTCAGAGGCACTGGTGAAAATCATATCCAAGATCTACAAAACAAGTATCATTACTGATTTCCACTGAACAAACATAATTTTGGTAGATAATGCTAACTTTCCAAAAAGCTTTTTGCTCACTACTTTTAATTTCTATAACTTTCTTTTTTTACGTTACTTTTCTAAATTATTTTTATTACATCCTTTATTATGATTCAATGAGCTTGCCCACAAAAGCAAATGGCATTACATAATGATATCATTCTATTTTTAAAATAAAATGTACAGTAGTCCCCGGCTTATCCAGTTTCACTTTCCATACTGTCCATGTGATCACAGTCCAAAAATATTAAATATTAATATTTGTCCTGATTCTTGAAGTCACATTAACATAACTTTATTATACTAGATTGCAATTATTCTTTTATTATTGTTATTAATTTATTATATCTAATTTAGAAATTAAACATTGCCATAGAGATGTACATATAGCAAAAGAATAGTATGCACAGGGTCTGGCATTTCCTTTAGCTTCAGGTGCCTACTGGGGGTCTGATTACGTGTCCCTAGATAAGGGTAAGGGGGGACTGCTGTAAGAAGAAATCAAAACAACACATTTCTGAGCTGGATGAAGTTCAAGATCATCTATAAGTTATAAAACCGCAACTCAAGAAAGTTAAGTGGCTTTAAGATCACACAGATACTTAGTAGAAAAGACAAGTACCCAGTAAGTGAATTTTACAAGTTACATCCTGGGAAACAGCATGTATTCCAGCATCAAAAACTAGCAACAGGGGTAGAGACATACCTCAACAACAGAGCGCTTGCACAGTGTGTTCAGTGGGTTCAATCCCCACCCCACCCCAACCCCCAAAAGACTCAAACAACAATAATAATGCAAGATAGTATGTATTCTACTTTTCTCACTATTAGTAAGAAAAACTATCAGTTAATTATAAACCCAAACTGTAAATAAAAGTTAAATGTTCCTGCTAAATTAGCAATGAAATATTGATTATACCAAATTATAATTGACTATATTGAAAATCCTGCCAACCTGCCAAACTTCTACAGATATGTTCTCAAAAACTATCAAGTAAGCAGCCTTGTTTTCAAATTATGTACTGTATCTTTTTTTTTTCTTTTTGGTACTGGGGATCGAACTCAGGACCTTGCACTTGCAAGGCAGGAGGTAGAACCACTGAGCTAAATTCCCAGCCCTATGTACTGTATTTTTATGGCAGGCCTGAGAATCAGTAAGACCTATGACTGAGAATTAGAAAATTTAAAATCTGCTTGTATTACTAAATAGAATCATAAATATATTCCACTCATATAAATAAAGAGAACACTGTATGTCAAAATGTTTTAAGCAAAATTTTTGGTCTTGTTCTTTTTCTGACTCTTTAGTTTTTTGTTTTATTTTTGTATTTTGCCTTATTCTCTTGATTTTTTTTAGCTCGTTAAATAATGTCTGATTAAATATTTCTGAGAACAGGTCATCTGTCCAATCTGGATAGTACTGTTTAATTCCTCTTACTAAACTGAAAGCCAAGACACATATAAACATTACTTCTGCTATCCTTACTCAGACTTCCCCAAATCATATGCATATTCAGTATCATTTATTAAAACTAGACTTGCATTCTTTTATCAGCTCAGAAGGAGTGGTATTCAAGAACCCACAGAAAATTCTCTTTCTTCCAAACCAAGAGCACCAAGAACTACACCCCCACTTCAGCTGAATGAAACAAAAAATGTAGAACAAGACGGTAAGATAACTTGGTGGGTTTCTTTCTGTAAGCCACCATCAAATTCCCTATTCTAAGAATCCGATGTAGACTAAAAGAGTAAAAAGGCACATCCACCAATTACAGTGTGTCAACTTAAACTGAATCCTGAGCTGTTTTTAAACCTTTTAAAGACATTGCTAAAATAATCAGTGGAACATAAACATGGACTTCACATCAGAAAATATGGAACGATTATTAATTTTCTTACATGTGATAATATTATAGTTATGGAAAAGAATAACTCATGTTTAAGAGATATATGCTGAAATATTTAAGGAGTTCAGTGGTCACAATGTTTGAAAACTGCTTTCAATGTGCATGTGCGTGTGTCTGCAAATATGGCACAATGCTACCAGTTACTGAATACAGACCGAGAGATGATGGTGTTCCCTTTAAAAATTATTCCCACTTTCCTAGAAAAATTTCAAAAGAAAAACCGAAGTTTCAGGAACAAAGCCTCCATTCCTAGTCAAACTACAACAATGTGATATATTCTCAAAACACTTATTTTTTATGTAATTCATACAGAAAAGGTCCATGTTACTGGTTTTTTCCATGTATGCTCACTCTTTCCACATATTTCTGTTTACTACCTGCAATCGGTATCCATTAAACACTGGGCTTATGTATTTCTGCCACTTATTAGGTCAACCAAATATAATAATAATGTTTAAAGTTGTCACTTTTCTTAAAAAATAACTAATTTGGTAATACTATTTTATATTGTTTATATAACCTGCCATTTAATAAAAATGTGTTAGCATAAGCATCACTGGGAAAAAGCTACATTCACCACAATCCATTAAATGTCAAGTAAAATCTCCAGCTCCAAAGACATTATTATTTTATGTACTAAAATTTTGTTGATTCTAGGAATTCCCGCTGATTGTTCCATGATTTATAACAGAAGAGAACACAGCAGTGGCACATATGCCATTAGGCCCAGCACTTCTCAAGTGTTTAATGTCTACTGTGATGTTAAGTCAAGTAAAGCTTGCCCATGGGGAAAATGGACTGTAGTTAGTTCAAGTCACTCATTACCTATATTAGTAAGGCTAACCCTGTTATCTTTGTTCTGAATAGATACACCATGAAATATATATAAGCATCCATATAATTCTAACAGTTACATTTTATATTATTTATGTATTTATTCAGTATTCTCCATTTCCTCTATACAGTAATCTGAAGTGACCACAGTCAGTAAGTTTACTAAGAAGAAATTAATTAGTTGCCCCCTACTTAACTGTTTGGGACCATAATAAATAATAAAGTGTATTACCATTCACTTATCATACATTACTATATTAACAAATTACTTTGCAAAAAAACCAAACTCCAAAAAATGTTATTTTTCAAACATCTGTCAACAGCAAACTATTAAAAATAAACAATTTCATTCATTAAATTCAGGTACTTCTTGGACATTAATTCAACACCGAATAGATGGATCACAAAATTTCAATGAAACATGGGAGAAGTACAAATACGGTTTTGGGAAGCTTGATGGTAAGGTGACTTCACTTAATCATCATTCTCTTGCTAATTTGAAAATATTTATTGAGAACCTATTATGGAATGGACATTGGAAATGCAACAATGAATAATAGTTCCAGGTTTATAAGATGCATAAACAAAAACACATTTGTTAGTAATAACAACACTGTCATTATTTGAACTATACTTATCACAATTACATCTGTGCTTAATTATACTTACCACAATTCAATGACTTAAATTATCATAATTATCAAAAGTCTGATTAAGTACTATATGCTTTGACATGTGATAAGTGTTATGAATGAACTGCAAAGATAATCATCCCTATCATCAGTTACTTTATTCTCAATTAATTAAAAGTTAGAAGGGCTGAGAGCTGTAACTCAGTTGTAGAATGCTTCCCTAGCAGGCACAGGGTCCTGGGATCCATTCTTAGTAAAAAATAATAATAAAATAAAAGATAAAAGGGGCAAGGACAGAACATACATACAGCATGAAATTTTAAATTCTAACTATTTAAATATTATAAATGTATACTACAGAATATGTGGTTTAAATAATTAATGAACTCAATGCATTATTCTACTTTGATCACAAAACAATATAAAGTAGCAAAGTAAAGCAACAGATGTTTAAAATCCAAAAGGCACATTATAAAAATCTATGAATGACGTACAAGCACTCACTTATAAAGTAGAAAACATCTATTTTTATATCAAATTTTTAAACACTCAGTATGTTTTGACCACTTAAAAGTTTTTATATACGTACCAGTTAAATTCCTAACTACGTGTATCCAGTGATGTTTTGCAGCTCCAACCTTTTTCTAAGAGGGCATGAAACCCAACAACTAAAGACTGATAGTTAAGTACAGAATGTTTACTCATTTCTAACAAAAAAGCCATTTGTACTTACACTAACAATCTTTAAATGGAGAGTCTAACTCAATAACAATGAGGAAATACACACTTTTTTCATTAAATACTTTAATAAGAATTATGAGAATGTCTTTTTTTTTTGTACTGGGAATTGAATTCAGGACCTTGAGCTTGCCAGGCAGGCACAGCATCACTGAGCTAAATCCCTGGCCCAAGAAGGTCTTATTTGTCCTTATGTTTTCTACTCTAAATAAAAGTTAATTTTAATATTATAGAGAAAAGTTATTAGGAATCAAGCATTTACATTTACATTTTTAAAAATATCTATGCCCTTCCTTTTCTACAAAGAAAACGTATTTACAAAGCAAATACCAATAGCCAAGTTTGTATTTGAGAAAAATGACATTACTATCATCCAAATCTGGGAATACTTCACAATCTCTTACTGCATATGACTATCAATACATAGGTGATAGTAAAGTTGGTATATAGGTAAGTATTCAGAAGGGACATTCTACCAATGACTAAATCTAAAAAGATCTACAATAGTCTAATATGTGTCAAATGCTAGGCATCTTGTAATATCCATTTTAGAAAGGCTAATCAGTCTTTAAACAGGTCTATTAATATTCCAGCATTGTTTTTGTATAAGCTACTGTCAGTAAAATTATTTAAAAGACTATTAAAATAACCAAGGATTCAAAACTAAAGCAATTAATTTACTTACACAAATTAAAAACACTGTAAAAATTCTCAGGGCTCAATCTGTAGTTAACCATATACAGATTTTTAAAACTTCTTTTCAGGAGAATTTTGGCTGGGCCTAGAAAAGATATATTCCATAGTGAAGCAATCTAATTACATTTTACGAATTGAACTAGAAGACTGGAAAGACAACAAGTATTATGTTGAATATTCTTTCCACTTGGGAAATCATGCAACCAACTACACACTACACCTGCTGGAGATGCCTGGCAACGGCCCCAAGGTGTTTCCAGAACACCAAGACTTGGTGTTTTCCACGTGGGATCACAAAGCAGACGGTCGCCTTCACTGTTCAGGAAGTTATTCGGGTACCCTCTTTCACTGCCAATGCTTTATTTTTCTATCTTCAAAATGTCTCCCCATAGTTTTAGGCAACTCTGTAATCCAATTCTTTCAAATCCTAATCTCAACTAAGCATTTTCTCTATAAAAATCTATTAACAATTATTTATAAGATGTTATTTATTGTAGTTCAACTAGGTATTTTAGCGCTAACCCTCCTCAGCTCTCTCTTATGGTATACACAAAAGTTGTACAAATTACTTAAGATTAGGATACACAGATCTACAAAACTGTCATCTTAATAAGAAATGGAGTATAGTCATAGAAAAATAGAGTAGCAGTACCTATAAATGAGTTTGTAGTTATTAAATCACCTATCTTCTTTAGGAGGCTGGTGGTGGCATGATGTATGTGACGAAAACAACCTAAACGGCAAATACAACAAACCAAGAGCAAAATCTAAGACAGAGAAAAGAAGAGGAATATGTTGGAGATCTCAACATGGAAAGTTATACTCTATCAAATCAACCAAAATGTTGATTCATCCAAAAACTTCAGAAAGCTTTGAATGAGCTGAGGTAAATTAAAAAACAATAAATTAAATATTAAACTCATTCCAAATCACTGTGGTTTAATAATCTGATATTTAATCCTTAATGGAAAGTTTGAGAATTTTTTAAAATTTTAAAGTCACTATCAGTTTAAGATTAAACATCATTACATCAACTCAAAGAATATCATTACTTTTCTCAATCAAAATTCTTATGATATCATTTGTCCATAGATTTGGTGACATGGGAATAAATTTTGGCCACAATCTAAATTATAGCTAATGGGTGAATCTTTAACTTTTTGAAATGAAAAAACTTAAAAAGAGATTCTTATCATCAAAGTATGGGCTATTTTAACGACTTCAATTTTTTTTTTGGTACTGGGAATCGAACTCAGGACCTTGGGCTTGCGAGGCAGGCGGTGGAACCACTGAGCTAAATCCCTGGCAACAACTTCAATTTTTGAAAAACTAGTTTTCTTAACATTCTAAATTTGAGTAAAAACAAAAGATGGAGAATTTCACAGTTGTTAATAGCAATATTAATTTCAAAACAAAAATTCAGGTGGAGCCAGGTGTGGTGCATGCCTCTAATCTCAGCACTCAGGAGGCTGAGGCAGGAGGATCACTGCGAGTTCAAGGCCAGCCTGGGATACATAGTGAGTTCAGGTCCAGCCCAAACTACAACGGGAGATCCTACCTCAAAAAACCAAACCCCCCCGCAAAAAAAATTCAGGTGGTTCAGAGTACATGCAGAAAGCTATAATATAAATTCTAAAACTGATACTTCATTTTCTACAAAATAATTTGGAGTAAAGGTTGTGGCTTATTATAAAGCCACATAAGGCAGGATGAAGTACTGCATTAAATAGGCTCAACGTCTTTTACAAGTGCAGTACGTGATAATTACTAAGTCATATTGACTTTAGTGTCGGGTATCACTGTCTCTTAATGTATTTGTTAACATCTATGTCACATGCATTTTATATATTTTAACACTTACTACTGTGTAAACCAATAATTTTAAATGAACCTTATCAGATTATAATAAGAATGAATGCATTTGCAGCATTAAGTTAACATTTAATAATAATTTATTCCTTTTGGACAGTCTATGAGTCTAATATTTTTGTGTACATATTAAATAATCATAAAACATTTTTAAATGTTTAAAATTAAATAAATAGACTCAGTCCCTAAAGTGTAAAAATTCCAATTCTTATAGTTTTTTATTGACATCAGTATAAATATATGACTAAGTTCTTTCTAATTTAAGTAAACACTAGATCCCCAAAGACTATCAGACAAAAATCTTTTGTAGAATAATTTATATTTAAAAAAAGTACTACTTTATGAATAAATGAAACTCAGAAAAAAGTGATCAGAATACTATAGGACAACTAATGCCCTGTTTCTCAAAATCCTTTACAGGGCCAGGGATTTAGCTCAGTGGTGCCACCACCTGCCTCACAAGCAGAAGGTCCTGAGTTCGATCCGCAGTACCAAAAAAAAATCCATTACAAAAGGAGGCAGATTCATTAAATTAACAATTCAAGATCTGGTTTTTAATGTTACTTTTTTTCTTCTTTTTCTTTTCATCTGCTTCCAGCTTAAGCTTAACTTCTTCAGCTGTAAGGTCTCCAAGTTTCTTATTCTTTGCTTTCTTAACCTTCTTTTTCATGGCAGCCACATCAATTTTTTTTGTTTTTTGTCTGTTTGTTTTGGTACTGGGGATCAAACTCGTGTCCTTGCGCTTGTGAGGCAGGTGGTGGCACCACTGAGCTAAATCCCCAGCCCACATCAATTTTAGTTTCAGTAGAAGGTTCCTTAGGTTTTGCAACCGGCTTTTCTTTAGGTGGAATAAATGCTTTCTTTTTTTCCTCTCGTCTCTGAGAGCTTCTGCTTGTTTAGCATTTATTGCTTCCATTTTTCTGGCGCTTCTGATTTGTCTTCAAAAAGTATTCACCACTAGCCAATTCTTTGTCAACCTGACTTTCTGGCTGCGGTGGTGGGAACGGGCATACCCTTTCTTAACAGCTTTCTTCTTTCGTTCTTTGCGTTTATTCACACTTTTGTGCTTGAACTGTGGCAAAATCTTTCCAACTTTGTGATCGTAATTCAGAATCATTTGCCAACTCTCATTTAATCATTAAGGTTTTGATATTATAAAGTGGATGAATATTCTTCATAGTATCTAGAACTACTTTTCGAACTTCTTTTAAGCCACAGTTTGCTAAGAGTTCCAATGCCTTCAGAGTAGATCCTTTGGGACCAATAACTCGTTGTCTTTTTACAAATCTTTCTTTATCTCTTACCTATTTCAATGATGTCACAGCAACATCATCCTGAAGAATTCGTACTGCCTGTTCAAATGAAACATTTCTTGCTAATAGTTTTATTAGATCTCTGGCCCTAATGCTGATGTATGGATCAGAAGTCTTTGTAGTACAAACAGTCATGCTGCCCTCAATCGGATCCAGGGTTGCATTAATGTGATGTTCACTCAAGGCCTTCTGTACCAAAGGCCAACACTCTTTCAAGTAGGCCTCTCTACATTTAGGGAACAAAGTTGCTCTCCTCCAAGAGTCCTCCGGGATTATCCTCTTTAGAAAAAGCTGATTCCTTCCAACCTTCAGGAACAGTGAGGAGTTCTGATTCATCATGGTTCTCTGGCTTCAGTTTCTGGCTGCAAAATTCATTCTTCTCAGGTGCTGGTGATGGCCTGTTCAGCGAGGAGGACGCCATTTTCAAACTGCTTCCCAGATACAAATTTTTTGAGCATAGTATCGCTTCTGAGTATTTAGATTCAAGTAACTTTAAAATAACTATCAAAACAGCAATAAAATTTTGAATTAAGCACAGTTTTCAAAGACTATCATAACCAACTTACAGTGTTTTATCTTAGTCAATATTCAGTATATATATTTTTTTGGTACCGGGGATCGAATTCAGGTCCTTACGCTTGAGCAGCAGGTGGCGAAACCGCTGAGCTAAATCCCCGGCCCCAAGTATATGTTTTTAATTATCCAATGTTATACGTATACTTTTAAATATCTCATATGTAAAAGATATGTATAACCTATCTGGACCCTACATAAACACTGTCTTCTAGAAAAACACAAAAGAATAAAGGCCATTTTCAGAACCATATACAGTCCACACTGTCAAAACATACATTGTTCCTAGAGCCAGAATGACAAAGTGGCTTTTAAAAAAACCGAAGCTTGTGAATGTAAAATACTTCATTATGTAGTATACCAACTGCTTCCTGGATTTGTCTTCCTTTTTCTACTTTTCAAACTTCTCATGCACTATTGCTTCATTTTGTTCCTTTCAAGGATACTAAGGTAGATTTTTTTTTCTCCATACAAAGCTCAGGCTGAGAGAGAATTCTGGTAGAGAAAAAGAAAGGCATTTGCTCTGCAAGGTTCACAAAGTGCTTCTGTACTGGAGCTGTGTCTCAAGCACCCAAATTCCACCACTCCCTGGCAGTGTCACCCGGGCCTCTGCCTCTGCATTCCCTTTGATCTCCCTGGTACGTATGCATAACAGTGCCCTACTCAAAGCTCCAGCTGCTTGCACAGTACCAGTACACTCCCTCCCCACGGTCATTCCTTACCCAGGTCTGTCCTCACACTCTTAGCACTGTGGACTAACACGCAAGCTCTTGGCACCTTTCTTAGCCTGACCCTCAGACCTTCTGCTTGCCCTTATGGACTCATCTATTTTCTACAAATCGAGTCCCCAAATCTGTACACTCCTACCAGCTCTCCTTCCCACACTGCCTGCCTGCCAATTCTCCCGGTTACACCCTCCGTCTCCACAAATTCAGCATATAAATAACAAAGTCATCGCCCTCACTGTCTCTGCTGCCCTTGTCAGACCTTTCTCCCCTCAGAACTTCCGCACATCCATTAAACTGCCACCCTGCCAGCAATCACAGAAGCCTGTAACACGGAAGACATCCCCAGCTCTTAACTTTGTAAACCACTCTCTTCCACCGTGAGCTACATCCAGTACAATCTTTTTTCAAAATGTCCCTTCACCTGATAAACTGTCCTCTCAAGAGTTGTCATTAACCTGAGTCCTAGATTATCTAAGTAGTCTATACCCAGCCTTCTAATTTTATGTCTCTCTCTCTCCTCAATCTTCCTTCAACAAATTTATAATGGCGCACTACTTTAACTTATGTCTCTCAAGCTTATTTACTGAAGAAGGACAACAGCTGAGGATAATAAAAACATACCCTCTTAGGTTCTCAAGTTATAGGATAAAATGGCTTATTCTAAGCATAAACTTCTTTTAGAATCTTACTAGGATCTTACCTTAAATCTTAGGATCTTATCTTAAAATTGTATATGAATTGTTTTAAACTCCAAAAGTCTATCTTCATTTGAAAATAGTTGTTTTCCCCAAAATCTTCTAGAAAGTGATGCCCTGAGATGCAATGTTTGCCCTATGCACACCCCACAAAGCTGTACCCTCATGAGAATGTGCACCCCAATTTGAAGGCCCACAGAACAAAACCCAAATCCCTTCCAGGTATTCAAGAGTCTCTACAGTCAGACCCAATTAAATCTTTTGTTTTTTGCTAACACAAACCACTTCTCAAATCAAAATCACCTGCCTGTAAACATCCCCTGTCTACTTTCCTAGTGCACTCCACTTGCCTGGCAGCCTCCCCAACCCTTCCGATCATCCAGGTCCTATGTATGCTTCCAGATGCAGATGATCTCACTTCTTCCACAATTATCCCAGTAGAGGGCCACTTATCCCTCTGCAACCAGCATAAACGTCTGTACTCCTCAAATGGCACTTTGTAAGTGGAAAAAAAAGACAAAAAAAGTACATCTGGAATATTACAATAAAAATTCTAAAAATAGTAATAAAAACTTCAGGACCATTAAATATAGGGAATCTACTTGATTTTAGAGAATTACTGCAAATTTTCTGTACCATACTCTGACCCAGTATGAATCTCACTGAGAGCAAGCAGACACAGTTCTTATCTCATGCTCACTATTATATTTACCCACTCTCTCATTCTGCAATCAGCATATTTTCAAACACG